CTGATGGGGAATAACCCCACACCGGCCTAGGGCTGACATCAGCGTAAATTTCCAAATGCCCGCCAAACTTCCTGCCCGGCTCTGCGCTCCGCTCGTCATTCCTGCCCGGCTCTGCGCTCTGCTCGTCCTCCCTGCTCGGCCGACCAAGCCGAGCCCGAGCCCCACGACAATGACATGCGGAAAGTGACGTTCAACGGAGACTTGAGGAAAGCGATAGGATGAAAGGGACAAGACGGGCGGAAAACGACGTTCAACGAAGACTTGGTGAAAGCGATAGGATGAAAGGGACAAGACCTAAGGACAGGTGACGTCCGCTAAACGACGGGCCTCGATCAGAGGGCTTTGACTTAGTGTATTTTACCCCCTATAAAAGGGGTGGCACCCCTCATTGTAAGGGGACCGAATTTTGAATTCAATATACTCCCACTTTGCGCACACTCTCTCTCTCTCTCTAAAACTTTATATTATTTCATACTCTCGGTGGTTTATAGCCATCACGGGCAATCCTCATCTTTCCCTGAAATATATTTCTCAGCTTAATACCATCCACTTAAGGATAAATCTGTCTGTCCATTATTCTCTGTCTCTGTCCAAGGAATAACTGTTTGTAATTCCTTTGAGAGGGCGGCTTACCCTAATCTCTTTGTAGGGTTCCCTTCCTCTTGGTAGCCCGCTCTTAATGGGCTGAGATTCAACCCATACATTAGACCCCAGTCCTTAGTTTTTTCCCTATCTTGTTTCCTGGACAATTCCCCTCTGTCGGCCCACTATATTATGTTTGGACCGGATCTTCCTTATAATGTACGAATTTCAAGTTGGGCCTAGACCCAATTTACTTATAATATCTCGATGGGCTCGGTTCCCATCAGTTTGAATGTGTGTCAACTTGACAACCAAATGTAATTTTGCCTCTCCATTTGATGATTCACAGAGACATAAAGGCGAAGCTTGTAGCATTCAATGATTCCGTCTTATTTAATTTTTATTTGATTTTGTACCCTCACCGACTTGACGCTTTTTATAAACTAGAGCAGACTAGCAAATACCAATTTCTAAGTCACATTATCTTCTAAAAAATCAATTTTCTCGAGCTTGACTTGTTTAATTATCGAGCCTCTAACACCTAATAGTGGTGAGCCCCTCGAGCCGGCTCATTTAGAATAATTAAGCTAAGGATAAATGAGTCTCTTATGTGTTCTAAAACAATTTTCTTTCTTCTATCTATCAATATAGTTTTTACACTAAAACATAAATAAAAGAGTATAATCCTTAAACGATCCTTCATACAACGGAGTTCTCTATAAAGTCCTCAACTTTAAGATATTACGTTCATGATTGTCTATATTTAAGAATCAATCCATAACGAGTCATTTTAGCTCAAACATTATTTTTCACATATAACCCACAAAGGACTAATTATAGAATAGTTTTCAAATGTCGAGGCTGTAATATTTTAGAATTGACGATTATGGTTGTGTTTGGTAAATGGCAGGTTGGCCATTTTCAGCCATTTGACCACCATGAATTATTTTGAATTGTCAAACAGCCACTATTTATGTGTTTGGAATAAGGCTTTTGAAGTTGGCATCTTGATTCAAAATGTTGAAGTATGAAACACCATATGGAGCAGCGTTACAATTCGGCATTTAAGTGCAATTTTCTGTTTTGCCCTTTTATCTTGATTTGGAGATTTGGATTTCACCCTTATCCCATTCTGCTATTGCATCTCTACAAGTGTTATCCCTATATTTTTAAGTATATTTATCCATTCTTGTTTAATCTTGAAAATTTTTAGATTCTTCCATTTTAGATGTAAATCTTAGGTGTGCAATTTTTGGTTTAACTTGATTTTTTAGATGTCCTTTTTAAAATATTAAAATCAATTTATGAATTTATTATATTTGATGATGAATTTGCAAATTTTGTCTAATGTTGAAGTCGGAGTTACACAGACCAACAAACCAATTAATATGTGGGTATATTCTATTAGCATGTCCTTAAATGTAATTTTCTTTACAAAGAGCCATTTTTGAACTGCCAAATTTGTCAAACATTTTTTTCTCAACAGCCAATACAATCGGCCAGTCAAAACATCTAACTTAATCAGTTATTCCAACCAGCCAACACTAAGAGCCAACAGCCAACTGCTGTTTTTCAAATATGACCTATATATAAAAAACCACATATTATAAAAAAAACCATTTATGAAACGTATTCTAAATAAAATACACATCTTTTACTCATTTAACACTCCTCACTAGGGGTGGGCATGGATCGGGACGGTCCGGTTTTAGGTTGTCCTACGTCTTGTCCCGTTATATATAAACGGTCCGGAACGGTTCGGATTACAACCTTATCCCGGTTTGTCCCATAAAATTCAGGATCGGAATAAAACGGGACGGATTCAGGTCATCCTATTTTGTCCTAAATCGCAAATATAAGAAGTTGGAGAGAGTGACATTTCATTCAAAAAAAGAAACATGTAATCATCCAACAAAAAACAATGAGTGGAATGGGTCCAAATAAATTTCAAGCCTATGAAGTTAATTTAATTAAATAACTAATTAATTAAAGAATGAGTGTATTTGGATTTTGGACTAGAATTAGTATTATATATTAGAAGAGTAGATGAAACGGGACAAACGAGACGGATCGGTATAAATTTTAGTTGTCCCGCTCATGTCCCATTTGATATTGGGACGGAACGGGTTCGGGATAAAAAAATGTGTCCCGATATATCGGTACAATTACAAAACGGAACCAGGATTTTTCGAAACGGTCCAACGAGAACGGATTTCATGCCCACCCCTACTTTTCAACAAAAAGTAAGACCATCATTTGGGTCTATGTGCATATAAGATAAGTATAAAATTTAAAAATAAAATTTGTATATTTAATTAATATATTAAAAAAAATTTCAAAACAAAGGAGATATGATTGTATTATTTTAAGAGGAGAGATTTTTTAGTTGAACAACCGGTGTGGGCTTTAATCAAATTGAAATGGAGTTAGTTCATCCACTATCATGGTTATTAAGTGTCCGGTAACTCGGTAAGCACAAACCATTTGTCTTTACTTGGATTTGTTACCTACCGGTTTAAAATTGATCATAGTACGGGTGGGATCGGGTTTCGGACAAGATCAGGATGCTACATTGAAATTTCTAAGTCTGAGCCCGACCCGATCCGTATAGCGGGCCTAACAATTGAAGCCTAAGTCCAATCCGTGTGAATATATGTGGGTTTCGGGCCAGCCCGATCTACACGACAAAAACTTCTAAATAATTAAAAGTATTTTTTTAAATAAATAATAGGTTAATATATTAAATGTTTGATATAATAACTATAATAAGTAAATGAAAGAACAACTACTACGTAATATATAAAATATCTTTTGTTTGAAATTGCTACTACATACGGAGTACGAAGTACTAAGGATGGATACATTTAATTAAAACATACTTATAATTTACATTTTTCTCCATAGATGTATGTGTTTACAATAAATTGAAATTCTATTTTCCTTTATTATTATTATTATTATTGTTATTTTATTATAATTACACTAATAATAAATTTTTTAATTAATTCGGATCCGGGTGGGCCGCAGGCTGAACATAAAACCCGAAGTACGAAGTAGGAATAGGGGTGGACACGGTACCGGTACGGTACCGTGACCGGCAACGGTACCGCCGGTACCCGCCACCGTCACCGCCGGCCGGTACGTTCCACCGGTTCCGGGAACCGGTACCGGTTCCGGTACCCATTTTTCGGTACCGGCACCGGCGATTCCGGTTCCGGTACATTTTTTTTTTTTACTTTTCGTGTCCATGGACTGCAATTCTCAAAACTCTTGCATTTTTAGATTTTTTTAAAAATGCAATTCTCAAAACTCTTGCATTTCCGCTGCAAATCTCCCACTGGGTAGTAGGACATTGATGAAACTCTTGTATTTTCTGGTTCCGGTATGCCAATTTCTCAAAACTTTTGCATTTTTAGATTTTTTTTATTTCATCCTTTCCTTTAACAATTTCACATTTACAATTTACACTTTAAAAATTTAATAAAAAAGTAAAAAAAAATAATTCGGGGGTGGCCGAAAACCGGCCGGTCCGGTACCGGAACTGCCGGTCTGGGAACCGGAACCGGTACCGGAACCGGCGGTTTCGGAACCGTAACCGTCCTGGAACTGTACCGTGTCCACCCTTAAGTAGGAACCGAACAACAACAACAACAACCCAGTTAAATCCCATAAGAGTAGGGTCTGGGGAGGGTGTGTGTACGCAGACCTTGCCCCTACTCGAAAGTAGAGAGGCTGTTTCCAAAGAGACCCCCGACTCAACGTCGAAAGTTGCATTGCTTGAGTAACTGCTACTTCATTAATTAAAGAAGCGCAGACAGTTTAGAGATCCATTTTGATTTATTCCATCACACCCCAAAGCCAAAAAATGGTGAAATTTTAGCTCCATCCAGAGATGATGGAAAATAAGTAGTTTCAAAAATACAGAATTCAATTCTCCCCAAAAATAAAGAATTCAATTCCCTAAACAACCCTTTAATTCATCCCATATACTCTTGATTTCAGCCACCCCTCCGCTTCCTTCCACTGAAACTACCGTCCTCCCACCATCCGCCGGGAACCTCTCTCGGCGTAGATTTCTAAGCCGAGCGCTGACAAGAGAAAAACATACAAATTCCCCCCAAAAAAGTACTGGGGTCCGTTTATTCTTCGTTATTTGAAGATCTTCTTGATTCTTTTTGTTAAATCTGTGTTTCTACAGCGGAACGTGCCAAAGAGAAAAACTAGGGTTTCTAAGCAGGGCGATGAGAAGAGAAATCTACAAATTCCCCAGGAAAAGTACTGTATCCTGTCTATTCTTAGGTATTTGAAGATTTTCTTGAATTGTGCTGTTGAAATTTTCCGTTTCTATAGTGGAAAAAAGACTAGGGTTTATGTTCATGAAATGCTGGGAGGCCAGGTTTATGTATTATGAATGGAGATTAGCGCCCTCTTCTCCTCAGATTTCTCTATAACCCTGACAGTCACCCTTTTTTGCTGCCTCTTTACGGCCGTTCTGTTTGCCTTCCGATCAAAATCAAGAAAATTTTCCCAGTCAGAATCCCGGTCCTCGAGCTGTTTCTGTTCCTGCATAGGGAACCTCAGTGCGGGTGGTGAAATGGCAGCTTCTATGAACGGCGTAGAGGGTTGTAGTTGTGGTGGGAGTGGTTGGAAAGAGATGGTTGAGCGCAGGCCTATGGCAGTGGTGGCTGGGGAGAGGATGACCGGTGCTTCCATGATGGAACAGCTGGTTCCCGAAATTACAACTCATGCTCTCAGCTATTTGGATTATCCCAGTCTCTGTCGGCTGTCAATGACAAATTCGTTAATGAGGAAGGCTGCAAATGATGATAATGCGTGGAAGGCTTTATATCATAAGGTTCAGTTTCTATTCAACTATGGAGCTTTGTATTAATTCTTGTGGTATAACTTCATTTGATTGCTATTTATTCATTATATTGTAATGCAAAAGTAATTTTCTCTGATGTGAATGGTTTAATTATTGTTCATGACATTATATTCGTTGCTTCATATTTGTTCTTGTGATATAACTTCATTTGATTGCTATTTATTCCCTATAATGTAGTGTGAAGTAATTTTCTCTGATGTGAATGTTTACTAATCGTTCCCTCACGACTTTGTATCTGCTGCTTCATAAGGGAGGAACAGCCCTCTTAGTTCCTCCAATATATGTCCATAGCGGGCCTTAAAACTGGCGCTTTACTTCTAGCCTTCTACTGGTAGAGGCCAAGACCTTATACAACCCAGATGCCCTTATTTGGTTTGTTTGGTTTATAAGGGTGAAACAATGCTTTCAGATCGTGCTTATTTTAGTATCTGAAATAGCTTATACAATTACTTCTTTCGCTTTAAAAAAATGAAAAGATATGATGCGAGTTTACTATGGAGTACGATAATTTATCCCTTGATTACCATTTTTTAGTGATGACATTTGTATAATGAAACAACTATTTCTTAAAAATCCATTATGATCATAGTTTATGAATGTGTGAACTGAACCTTTTACTCCTATTTGTGCTCCTAGGATTTCACATTGGAACAGGATAGCGTGACTCCAGCTAATGGATGGAAAGCGTACTATGCATCTACGAGAGAAATTATGAACATTAATGCTGAGTTTTTTAAGATTATCAGGGAAAAATCACTCCCCGCAATGGGTCATTTGTGGCTCAAGGGTGATTATGTGAAGTGTTTTCATGCCAATGGAGAGTTCTTTACTGGGTATGTGGCATTTTGTCTTCTTAAGCTATTTGCAATTTTATTAATTTATTTATTTCTATATTTTGCATTTTGGCTTGAAATTTTTTATAGTAAGGAAGGATTGATGTATTCAAGATGAAGATACAACAAGAGGTTGAGCTTTTGTAGTTTCATTTTTTTATAAGGATAGACTGATATATTTCCAGCACAATCCCATATACTTAAAAACAAAACTTTGTTTAAGACATGGAAATATAGCTTACCAAAATCAATGGCGTTTCCAAAGATATATTGATGATCCTGTAGAAATGTTATTCAATATTCACTGCAATTGCCATTGGGTGATGAAATGCACAACTGCACTTACTTTTCTGCTTTTTGTAAGCTGCTTGTGCTTACATTTTGTTTTGTTGGAGGTTTGGTTATTTCTTTCTTTGTTTTTGGTTGGGTGTCTAGGAAATGCCTTTAGATTTCATTAGAGCATTTTGAATTGAAGATTCAAAATAACTTCATAGTAAGGTGTGGCTAGCATGTAAAGCTTTAAAGGGAAAAAGACTAAAATAAGAGTAAAACATAGGGAAAGAACCAAAATAGGACCTTCATGTGATTTGTCATGAAAAAAAGACAGCGTGTGTGATATCGTTGTTAGGGTGTAGACATTGTTTGCAGTTCTGATTTGGGGATTGAAGCGGGCTATATTCCTCCAATGTTTAACCAAAATGGCAGTTGAAAGCTTTATTATTGCAATGGAATGCTTTCAAATATAGGAAACTGACACTTTTGATTTACTATCAAAGAATCGACACTCGGATGTTGTCCCCAACCAAGTAAAGAAATAGTGTCCATAGACAGACTAATGAGCTGATACAACAACATTACCTCGGTGCCTCAAAGGCTCCCACCTATTACGGGGTAATGGGGGTCGGATGTACGCAACCCCTATGTTTAAAACATAATGCGGCTATTTCCAGATGACCCAGCAGATAGTTTAAAGAGCCATTTTGCTTTATTTCACCATACCCCAAAGCCAAAATTGTGAATTTTTGGTTACATCAGGGATGATGGAAACATACTAATGAGCTGATGTTTATATATTCACTAATTGACTATACACACTGTCTATTACTATACAGTTACAATGCAGTGATAGAAAGCTGGCAGCTTGCTTTTAACTGGGAGCAGCAAAGCATGGATTTCCAGATTCGGGATGTGAGGGCCAGGGTGTTTCCAGATTCTGCTTGGGTCACCATGAAAGCATATCTTCAACAAGACGCAAGGCCATTTTACATGACCAATGTTTTTGAATTCCACAAGGGGAGGTGGTGCATGGTGCATCATCACTGCTCCATCGTGCTCCTGCATGGTGGAGGAGGAGGAGGTGGTGGTCCGGGGCCGCAAATTGTGCAGGGATGATGTGATTGTTTCTGTGTAATGAACGCTAGAAGATGGCGATTTATTTATTTACATATATATATATATATATATATATATATATATATTAGTGAAAGATTGTATAGATTTCTCCTTTTGTTAGGAGGGTGATGATGATGATGAGGATGATGACTGACTTTTGAGTGTCTTCGTGATTGCCATTGTATTTATTTGCTTTTCTCTGAGTTTTTAGGTTCTTGTCGGAGGAGAAGGCTCGAGTTTCTTGCCACCTGATTTTCAGGCACATAAAAGGCTTCTTTGTCTTGCTCATATAACAAGTGCACAGAATGAGTTGGTTATTGTCCCCTTCATTTTACAACTTTGGTGCTTGAATCTGACTTTTATAAGCTGTGGGGATTTTCTCTGTTCATTCTCATTTCCTATGAGAACTGAAGAAGGGATGACCTTTTAAGTTTTAATAATACTAATACAGCATACTTCGTTATATATTATTCGTACGTTTTTTGTATTCTATGTCGATTTTTGACAAATGATATACAGAAATTATATAATGAATTATACTCTATTAACTTGGCACTCAATGTAGAGGTTTGATATAATGATTTAAATGGCAAAGGTACATCAAATGGCTTTACACAAGTCATTTTACTTGTAAATAAGTACAATACACCAAATTGTTCACACAAGTCTATCAAATATAATACACCATCCGCCATTTTCATTTGCCATTACACATATTTGGATTCCCTCCATTTCATCAATAATGTTTCCCTTTCATATCTAACCTAAATCTATTCTACAACACCGTGGTTCTTTTGACATTAAGTTTTCATGTCATATTTTGACATCAAATACCTACGGTGTTCTGATAAAAAATGGACGGTTTTTACCCCCTAATCTTTGGATGAACCCCAAGTTTGTTTCAGGCCCAATGCATCTTCGCACATTCGTCAATTGCACCCTCCATATTTTGTCGAATTTTTTTACCCCAAAGTCAACAAAATTTGAGGAGTGCAATTGAAGAAGGTGCGGGGGTGTGCTAGGGTAGGAACCATCAATTTTTATCTGAGCACCGTAAGCGGCCCTTTTGAACGAATGTTATAATATGATATTGAAATTCAATATCAAAAGATTCTTTGTTGACTACAAATACTCCTATCCTTGTTATTTTTAGCAACATTCCACAATCCACACCAATATTCATTTTCTTCCTTTGTTTTTTTCTCTTGTTTTCCATTGCCCTCTATCTGGCATTGGTTTTGCTTCCATGGCCGCCACAGTCTCTCTAAAAGATCAACATGGAGAAGATGAAGATAGAGTAAATGAAGTGCATCAAAATTAGTCACAAGCAATACTGTGCAATTTTTCCAAATGTAAGAAGAATTAATCGTCGAATTAACAATGTCTTGTCATGTTCCTACAGGAATTACAGGTAATATTTGTCAAAAATCTCCACCAAAGACTATTATTTTTCCTCCGAACATTTGGTTTTCACTGAATGGATTGGAAAGTCTTAAAATATCGTGCAAGCTTCTATCTAAAGCTTCAAAGCAATACTTATGAGTCATCAGTACTTCATCCTAAATAATAAGTTTTGCCTTTATTAAGAGTTATGCTAGAGGCGTTCATTGCTTAATATTGTAAGTAAAGTTCTCATCCGGGCACAACGGGATTTTAAATTGAGAATGGGTTGTTCTACCACCAGGAAAAAGTAATGATCCTGTTCCACTTGATGCGACATTCAAGACTATATCATCTTTAGACCGTAATGTAGCTGATAAAGTTCTTCGTACATATGTCTTCCCAGCTCCACCGTATCTGTAGAAGAAGAAAACTTTCCATGAGTTTGTAATAATGGATTGTATTATAGTATCATAAGATGCACGTTGTTCGTCATTTAAAGAATCCAAAAGGGTGATGTGTTTGCTTGCCAAGCTTGGACAATCATATTGCATCTCATAAAAAACCATTCGATTGGTTGGAGTCTAAATTCTGTGATGGTTTGCTTGTGGCATATCAGTGTAATCGCGAAGGCTTTTCCCACGATTTTGAAGCAAATTTTAAATATCACATAGAACATAATCTTGAATCCCTTCTTCTTTAAGTGTTAGACCTAACATGATTAAAAATATACTATACGAATCATAAAAAAAATCTTTTAAAAGGGAGATTTTCTGAAATACATAAAATGTACGGAGTAATATATATTTTCATGATGCAAGAGACGGCGCGACGCTATAATACATCATCTGCCATATATTGCCAGCATTGTTCCCAAACGTGCCTTGGCCTAGACATCGAATCACTTGTTAGTAGCATCACAAATAAATTCCTTAACTGTGCAGCAGAAGCCCAGTGACTTGCTTTTACGAATGCGTCTACATATTCTCTATCATTATCAAGTAATCCCAAAGCATAACATGCAATCACTATATGATTCATGAACGCTGCCATTAACAGTTTTGATATTTTCGTAACTTGTAGGACCACGTACTATGTTCAGAAGACATCTCTAATAATAAGCTTCACCTATTCCCGGCGGAACATAGCTCAAACGTCCTAGTATCACACCTATGCGTTGCACGGGCCATATTTACATTACTAAATTAAGATCGTTTTTGAATGATAGAAAATGATATCTAATAGAATATAGAGATTTTATTATTTTAAGGTACAAAACTTTTTTGCTTTACAAATTTCAAAAGACTTTTTTATAAACTACATTATTTGGATAATTTGTACAATTTAACCGAATGCCCCTACACATTAAAAGTTAAAAATTTAAACATAAATGTTTCACAAATTAAGATTATTAAAACATGGAAATAATACAAGGCAACACGTTATGAGATTACCTTATACACGGCACCCACATTTTGTACTTACCATTTTAAGTTTTAGTACTTAATAAATAATAATTAATAATTAGAGTTTCACATGTTACCTTTTTTAGTACACACGGTACCATAATAATTAATAATTATATATTACGTCTATTATTATTATTACAGGGTACCATAATAATTAATAATTATAAATTACCTTATACACGGTACCTACATTTTGCACTTACCAATTCAAGTTTCAGAACTTACCTTCTGTGATTGAAACGTTTAAGCGGGAAAATGCAATTCTCCTCTTTTTAAATAGAGTATTGATATTAGCCACCCTTGTCACCTTGTGTAGTAGATACTCCATATAACTCTATGAGAGCTTTTAGTGTCTAGTCCTTCTTTTATCTGTTCTCTTTATACTCCACTCCCAAAAGAACTATCAACTTTCATTTTTTCGTCCATTCCAAAATTAACTTCACTTTCTTTTTTTCATAAAAGAAAATTATTAAGTAACTTAGAACATTTATCTCTTTTCTACACAAATTCAATCAACACACCTTTTAGTTTTCAACAACTTTTTTAAACTTTGTGAAGTCAAACCATGACTTTCGGGGGTACGGTGAATGGAGATATATAAAATACACGAAGGCTATAAAGTATATAGGTTGCCCTCTAAGATCACAATCAATGGCGTGCTATTCTACATCCACGATCTGCCACATTGGATTGACACGGTTGAGTTAGGCGAGGCATGAAGGAGTAACTCCCCTTTCTGTGGCCTGTGCGATGCATACTTGCTCCAATTCCTTTTCTTTTTTTTCTTTTGGAAAAAAAGAAGAAACGCTCCTTATTTAGTTATTTTTATAGACATATTTTTATTATACGAATATATGAAAACTAATATTTAATAATAAATATCTAAAAAATATAAAAAGTGACAAAAGGCAAAACTTCCATATTGTTTTTTAAATTTTGTCTTTTAGATTTCAAAAAAAAAGGATTTTTTCTTACCAGAAAGAAGAATTCTTCAAAGGAGTACATCTATTTTTTTTTTGAAAAGAATAAGCAAAATAATTTTTAATAATTAAAATACATTAAAAAGTGTAAAAAATAACAAAAATAATGACTTGCCATCGTATGGGCATGCCATTTCACTCATTTGTCACACAGTGACTAGACTGTTTTTGATTGGTTGAAATGTTCTACATCACCATGTGACATTCTATCTTTGCCTCACCATTGCAAATGCTCTAACAATCAATCTTCTTTTCTGTTAATTGATTATTAATTTTCTATTAAGTTTCCAGTGGAAAACTGAACTTATTGCTTTTCTTTGGGATGTAATGGAAATGCATTCAATGTATAAGTAATTTGTGATTATTGAGCACATAATTTTCATTGTCAATAAGTTATTTTAGATTAATGAGCATATAAGTCTCATGCATGAGATCTTGTAGCCATACGAGCGAAAAATGAATAAAATGCATTTCCCATACCTACATACTCCCATGTAACCATGTTGGCATACAAAAGTTTCAAATTTCTTTTTTGTGTCTAAAGACAAAATTCCATTTTTTCTTTTAAAGAAAAACATTGTACCATTCATATTCTCCTTTCTCCTCTGCTTTAGTTGTTCAATGACTAGTTCACAATAATGTGGGGATTAATCAGATTCCCTCTCATATACCAATAACATATCAATATGCACAACAGCTTCAAAACACTGAAACCAATCAAACACTAGGGGAAAGAAAAAAAAAAGAATGAGTTGTTGCTTTATAATACACCACTCACATTGCATATTCATATAACCATGCGCGATTATATAGCCGTTTGCTTCAAAGAACACAACGTAAACAGGCAAATCAATACTTCCTTTTCCTTTTCTTGAAAGTAGATGATCGGATGACATCATCATCGGCATCCAGTGTTGCGCTTAGTGCTGCCATAGATTCTGGTTTGGTGAAGTATGTGAACAAGAGATAAATCCCATCCCAGTATGTGTTGGACTCTCCTGCTATGTTTTTCTTCTTAATTTCGTAAGCCAGAGGAACAATCCCCCGGTTGAACACCTCCACATACATGCCGCCCCCAGCAGCAAGCAACTGCAAAAAAACAACAAAAAAATGGAATAACAGATTGAAGAAGACTTGAATATGCTGTGTAATATGCATATCTAAAATTCAAACACGAGAATCAAATATCTCTTAGAGGCTAATTTAAGTACAAAGAATATGGTTTGTTCTAAACTTATAATTGACTGTAGGTGATTTTTAATGGTAATGAGGATATTATAATCTAATGTCATTGATTTAAAAAATAGCAGTATGAGGGGTTAACAAAGTACAAACAAACAAGTTTTTCACAAATACTGTATATATTACTTAATACCCCGTAATTAAGTCATCGAACTCCTGGTTTTAGATAATTCTTAAAATGAAAATCAGACATTCAAAATGCTCATATAAAAGTTTCAAGTAGGGACTCAAGAACCATATAGCTCTGACACTTAAAATTTTCAAACCTCATCCACATCACAAACAAAAGGATATTATCATTATACCTTTTTAATACCCAATTAGGTATGAAACCAACAATTTCAATAGAGTTAATAGTTGGTTTTGTCCCAAGACTTTTGGCCCTCGACTATGCAATTTGGACCCAATTTGGTTCTCATTACTAATTTATATTGCCAATCCCATGTTACTTGGGATGAGACATGGTTGTTGTTGGAA